TCTATAAGCTACCAATACATGGTTAATTTATTGACCAAGTTTCTAACCTATCAATCAATTACAAACATATGTAAAGTCAAAGCAACATCTATGAAGCTTCTAAGAAGCCTCTCTAAAAGGTATTATAAAATTAACCTACTTTTATTTATTTTTATCTACTTCTATCTAATCATATAGGTATTTATTAGAGTATCTATGTATATTTGTGACAATACCAAGGAAGATATCATTCTTTATCTTAATATACTAAGCTATTATATATCTTAGTTACAACTTGTAGATTATAATTCTAAAGATTCTTAAATATATATATTGTTATATGTAAATTAAAATTATTAAAAAATATAACATCTTCATACAAAAATTATACCTGCATCTGACTTCTAGAAATTATCGAGGTCATGACCAAACCATAATAAGTTTTATTATTGAGATAGTTGGTGTTTACATACGCAGACATTATTAATCTGGCCCTTGAGCAAAGTAAGCCACTCAAAAATAACATGAATATCTATCATCAAGGCAGCATTATTTGATTTACTCATGGAGACTTACTAGACTACCTCAATTACTTGGACAAAATTCTCACCAAAAGAATAAAATACTATTTTTTTGAATACCTTATTCTACTACAAAAAGATAATTTTAAAGTTTTTGAATATCTTATTTTGTAGAAGAAGACACTTAAGAGATAGTGTCTTCTTCTACAAAAAGACAATTTCAAAGAGGTTTTGTATCCAAAGTCCCTGACTTTATTTAGTTTCTAGAATTATTTCATGTGGCATGAATGTTAGAGCACTTTGCAATATGAAGCACTTTCAAGTAGCTTCAAAAAATGTACTACTAGATTTGTATGGTCAGTGATGTGATCTATTTCATTTGTTAATGCTTAATATGCTAAGTAAAATATAATTATGACTAGAATGTCACATTGTGCGTACTAATGTCAATTCTTATTTTAAAGCCATTCATATGAGTGAGGATGGATTTCATGAGACCCTTGATGTCAATTATATTTTGAAATAAGACAAATAATATTCTTAACTAATATTAAAAAATCTCATTGTTTAGATTTACTCACATATATATATATATATATATATAAATTTATATATATATTTTAGTATATTAAAAGTAACTTTTATGATAGCTTTAATATCAAGATATATTAATTTTAAAAATATATTATTTTTTGGAAGTAAAATAATTTATTTTTATTATTTATTTATTATTAATTTGTGATTTCTAAATGCAAAAAATATATATATTCTATTAAATTTTATTATTAAATAATTTTTAGCTTTACAAATGATAATAAAAAAATGGAAGAATTAAAATTTATATAAATATATATGTCTACATACATATATACATATATGTCATAATTGTACAAAATATTAATTAACAATAATCCATATAAAATAGAATTTCATTTTATAATTATCTTTTTTAGAGGTAATGTTTAAAAATAATTTCAAGTATATGTTAAAGTATTTGATGTTAATATTATTTGATTTATTCATAAAAATTCGGTTTTATATATTTTATTTCTAAAAATAATAATAATAATTAATAAAATAGACAATAAATTATTTTAGATTAATTATAATTCTAATTTTTATAAAATAATAGTATTAAATATTATAAGATAATTTAAATCAATGCAATGAATGCAGTATTATGCATTGAAATCAATATAATGAATGTGATATTATGCATTGATTTATATTTATAAGACTAGTCATATTTGGTGTTTTGCTTTATTTCTTTTATAATGTCTTATAACAGCTTTAGAATATCAGTAGAAATCCTAATTCTTCTTAATCTATTTATTCATCCTAATTTATAATTTTTTGATAATTAGCTAATCTATAGTTGTGTTTACAGTAAGAGATTTTGACTTTTGGTGAATGTCTGTGTGTATATATATGTCCATTACTCATTGAATAATTATATTTAACAATTCTATTGTCGAAGTGGCAATTGTATGGTGATATTTTGTCCCTAATTACATGACATTGTTAATATGATAGAATTGATAATTTAGATATAACATCTCTTTATGTTCCATTGATTTTAATTGTAAATTTTGATTAGAATTACAGTATCATTCATTTGAAAATGTTGCATTGCCACAAAAATGCTAGAAAACTTTGTTTTGATAAAAATGAACTTTAATTGCCTGCCAAGTATGGTGTATGTGTATGTGATTTTTATGTTAATAAGATTTATTTTCATTTTATAGATTAAATTTTTTTAAAAAAATTGAAAACATCAATATTTATCCAAATCACTTTTTTAATTTTTTTTTAAATGCAAAATATTTCTTTAAAAATTATTAATATCATAACTCTTTTATCTATATATATATGTGTGTATATATATATATATATATATAGTATAATAAATTTCTATTCAATACTTTAAGATATTATGTTTCTAATATTTTATAATTAAAATTATAATACTTATAATTATTATTTTAATACTGTAGTATATAATAATTTTTTAAATAAAATACTTTTAGTTCATTTGTAACTTAGTATGCCTTATATTTTAATATTCACTTTTTAGTATATTTATTGTGTAAAATAATTTAATTTATTAATTTATTTCACTGTATGTTACAAATTTTATTACATACATGGTACAAAAATATTCTTTATATATATATATATATATATATATATATATATATATTTTAAAAATATATCATGAATAAATTATTTTTTCTATTATATTCTTGTTGAAAATTTGTAATATTTTTCTTATTTTTCTTATTTTTCTTATTTTTCTTATTTGTGATTATCTTTTAAGAAGTATTTTTATTTGATTTGAAATAATTTATTTAAGCAAAAAAATTTATTTCATATTTTATGCAATATAATTGGAACTAGATTAAAAGGGTTGATAAATCATGTGGTCATAACAATGCCAATATGTATAAGGTCATTTAATCATATAATGTTAAAAGCATTCTTTTACACAAAATATCAATAATTAATTTATACCAAAGAAGTAGGAAGTGATTTTGAAATTTTTATCAGTTTTAGAAATAAATAAATAAATAAAAATATGAACTAAAGTATAAAATAAAATATCATTGGTATTCTTTAGAGAGTTCTTTAAAGACTTGACAATACAAAAGTGACAAATGTAGTAATTAATAGAGAGAAAATCCAAGTAAAAAAACGAAAATATGATTAGATTAGATTTTAGTAACAAACCAGTCATTACCAAGATTTTTATAATATTGTGAAAATAATGACGAAAATCTTATAAAATAGTTAAAAACCAGATTTAACAGAGGTATTATTAGAACTAAAGTTAATTTTAATTTTGTTCTTATATTTTCTACTTGTAAGACTAATGAACTGTGGTCTAAGCTTCTAACATTTGGACATCTAAACTTGTAGAAAAAACTTTTAAAAAAACTTGTCAATATAGTTCTTGAAATGATTTTTCTAAGAATCTTTTAACTTGATTTTATTCCCAAATGTTTTATTTATAGAATTTATGAAGTTTGTACAACAGTAAAAATAGTTTTAGAAGTTTATATTAATGACAAGTAAGGCACAAATTTCTATATTTTTGTTAACAATAATACTATTTAGAAGATTAAAATTTTGTTATTAAAATATATCAGGCTTGTGACACGAAATTGATTTTCTATTAAAATTTTGGTAACCTAATAATTTAAATAATTGTTTTTAAAAGTATATTCTATGAAAATAGTTTAACTAGTTTTGTGTTGATTTTCTGTATTAAAATCTTTTGGAAAGTTTTATGAGGATCTAAAAAAATTCATAATGTCTTAAAAATACTAAAAATTTATTCTTTTGAATTTTACTTTGAATTCAAGTAAAATTGTATGCCTAATTTCATATTAGTTAGCAAGTAATAATAAAAATAAATTTTATTTTGTAACTTTTAAATAAAAAACGAGTATTTTTTTAATTGTATGCTAACTTTACATGTGTAATGTGTGTGGGTTTATTAATATATTACACTATTACAATTAAAAGTGATGATAGTATCAGTGATTAACAAAAACAATTATAAAAAACTATCATAATTTAGTATTGACAATTAAAGCCATCTTATTAATTTTCATTAGTGAACAAAAAAAATGTATAAGTAAAATAAATAAATAAACAACGATACATCATTGATTCCATCCTTTGGACGTGCAATGAAAGTAAGGTGGGTGTCAATTTCATCATTTTCTCACCCAACAAACAATTGATACATGCTCCTTTCAATCAAAGATGCTACAAGTAAAAAAAAAAAAAATGAAAAAAGAAAAAATTACATAAAGTATCACATTCTCCACACACAGAAGGCAAGTATTTTTTTGTCCTTATGTTAATGGCAAAAACACAAAACTGGTTCAAAAAATCAAAAAATTCCTGGAATATATATTTATTTCATCATCTACAAGAGTTTAACTCTGTTATGACTTTGCCAATAAATAGTTCACATACATTACTGCATTAATGAAGAAAGTCTAGATCTATGGGAATTGTATTTGTTGAGGTTCATACACTTTTATATTTTTTATATTTTCAAAGCTCCCATCAAGTCCAAGTGAACAATGCACATTTAAAACCTCTATTAAAACCATTATTTAACCACCCCACCAACTTCAATTGACCCTACAGACCCACTCCACATGACCAAGCAACAGGGTGATGTGTCTCGTGATAAAATAAAATAAAATAAAATAACATCCCCAATTGCTCGAAACCCACAAGAATCCATGCAGATTTGCAAAATGCTTAAACAACAGGCACAAGAACATTCTGGGCCTCTATCGACAATCGCCCACGTTGTCGATACAACCGAGGCCATTTAAATCGTTCACGAGGACCGAGTTTTTGGAGGCTCGAAAATGCAGACATCGTCCAAGTTGTTAAGTAGTTGATGTTGATGTTGCCGTTGTTGTTTTTCTTATATATATATATATATATATATATATATATAAGCGATAGTGTTCCAAGCGAGAGTGGAGGGCAGTGATGGCGTCGTTCGAATTTTGTTCGCGGGTTCCTTACTTCTTCTGCGTCGCCTTGGATTCACCGAAACGCGACAGGAGGGAGTGTAGTGCGTCACAAGGAGGGAGGTGGGTTCTGCCACTTGGCCTGGCCGCCAAGTGCTCGAAGGGTGATGAATTGAACAGGCAGTTTCCACTGCCGCTAGTCCTATGACGACGAGCCTGGATCTCGATTAAGAAAGAAACTTACCAACAAATTACCAGCTGCCTTGGACAAAATGCTCCCTTCCCCCATCAGAATCATCACGAACAAAGCTTCCCTTCCCACATGGCGGCCACTATCGCTTGAAACTGCTGCTTTTCATCCGCGCAGCTGGTGTCCTTCCCGAACTTTTAAGAGAAAAGTACACATGCACTGTGAGACGCTCTTGTACTCGCGCGCGCGTATTCCCAGAGCGAGAGAGAGGGAGAGAGGGGAGAGCTAGAGATGTATACATATACAGAGTGGGTTTCAGAATTCAAGTGCATGGCGGTTGGTAGTTGATCTAGAGCTTATCAGGGTTTCGTTTTTTTCTCCTTACATTTTTGTGGATCAGTTGGAGGAGCGAGCGCGTTTTTTTGGTTGATTACCTTGATTCAACTTCGTGGGTTTAGTGGATTCGTTTAGTGGTTCGTGACCATCGACCGCGCATCTCTCCAGAGTCGGGGGTGGTGGTGTCTCTGGTTTTGGTTGCTTGTGATCATGTGTTGATCTGGTGGGAGTTGATGTGCATGCATGGAGCTGAAAGAGGTTCTGAAGCTTGATTGTGTTATGAAATGCCGGTTCCGACCATCCTCAGGTAGACCGACTGTCTGCACATAAATTTTTGTGGAACTTGGTAGAGGGTCAGACTCTTTCTGGTGGTTCTTGAGGCTCAACCTCCAGCGATCCGACCAATCTTTTCAGTTGGATGTACTGCGATGACATTTTCGCAAATTACTGGGAAACTCTGTTCGGCTGCTCTTTGAGCAGATCTTCATGCTAGAGATCGACCTTATTTGAAGCCTGTGTCGAAGCCTTGTCTGATAACTCGCTGGACGCCGCAAAACACCAGTCGTTTTGTAGCCAAGTGATTTCTACATGCGCAATGCAACCTCCGTAAGTCAGCCTCAAAACCATCGTAACGGTGGGGAGAGCATTGGAAGTGATGTCACATCCTTGCGAGCTGACAGAGATTGTGACTTAGCCAGATGACTGTGTGGCTTGATTTGTGATACAGCTCTGGAGAAACCAGAAATGTCCCTATTGCTGGAATCGGTCGTCTTCACGTGGTATATAGCTGGTTCCATAATTAAGACGAGAGGTGTCATTCTTGCGTAGCAGAATCGATCCGGGGAATTTCGTTTGGAGTTGTAAACAAAATCATGGCCAGTTCCCGGTGGGCGTTTTCGCAGAGCAGCAACAACCTCTCGTTCAAATCATCTGTAGCGGCGCAAGCAGACTTCTGGTTCGACGCGAGCTTGCTCTACGTCCGCGTCACCAACTGCCAGCTGACAGGAGATTGCACACTTCCTGAGGTTCTAAACGTACACTTTCCCCCACGGGAAATCGCCACCTGCATGGAGGTCAATGGCGGGCGCATTCCCCCATCGGAGGAGGTCTCCCTTGTCCTCCGTCGAAACCGCATCGAATCCGAGACGGCGGACGCTTTCATGTATGTCAGCACAGACAACCTCCGCATGAGCTCCACGCTTCACTTTCAAATCCTGGATCAAGACACACTTCTCGTCTCCGGCATTCTGGAAAAGCTAGCGTATTCCCCAAGGCCAGCTGCTGCGACACCGGCTGTACCCACGAGGAATGATCTGGGATGGATCATGGCCACCACTTGTGAGATTGGATCGCTAGGATGCGCCTTCGTCAAGGCGAAGTATGAGCTCTTCAAGCACGGCCTGTGCATAAACTTTCCCAACACCAACACAGCCATGGAAATTTGTGTAGTGGGGAGGTTTAAGAGTGAGCCTGTAATCTTGACGCAGACCTTGATGCTTACTGTCAAGCGACGATCCGCCTCTTTCTGCACCCTCAATGCTATCCCCGAGGACAACGAAGATGATAAAGAAAGTTGCCAAATGTACGCAACGGCGATGGTCTCGAACGATTTCCTGGACGAGGTGAGCTTCTCAATCCCTTCCTACCTTCACTTGATTAGCTTTATTGTATTGTGTTTCCATTCGTGGATCCGTATCACCAATTTGATCCATAGCCTTTAGACCACTTAATTTGAAGAGAGTGTAAAGCTGACGTGGGAGGTATTTCGGGGGATGGTAGGGTGGTGAGTCTTTCTTCGGCATGTCCAGGAGTCAGGCCGATAGTCAGAAGGAGTTGGCAGCTGGAGATTACGTGAGCAAAATGCTCACGCTCGACAGTAGTTTGTACCTTCCAGACGTGGTGGATCAGGAAGAAACATGGTACAACAAAGGCATTTCCAGGGGCATCAAATTGGGATTCGGAATTGGGATAGGTATGTGCGTTGGGCTGGGAATTGGATTGGGTTTGATCATTCGTAAGTTTCGTGTCACAACAAAGGAGCTGTACAGAATCACAGTGTAACCAGGTAGACTCCTTTTGAAAAGCTGCAGTACCCACAATTAGATGCATCCACAAGGCTAGGGCTTCGAAGAAATGAGAGACCTCGGAGGTGATCGCTACGGCAGAAGTCTTTCGATTCTTGGCAGCATCACGTACATAGATTTGTATAATAGGGAGTGTGATATTCAAGCAGGGTGACTTGAAGATTATGATCGAGTCATTCTGCAATGCAGCCTGCGTATTGCCAATCAAGAGTAAACAACTACAGCCAAAACGATTCTGAGGACAGGCAGTCCAGTCAACAGTGCTTGCAACCCTTTCGTATACCTTTTCGCTGGATGAATTCAAACGATACATGAGGTGCCGCAACGGGATCTTGATGTGGCCATGGGCGATGCGATTGAGGAGACCGATGAGTTTCTTGATACTGGGCACGGCTTTCTCTTAACCGGCGCCACCATGCCACTGCACAGCACCGCTGTCACCATGAGCACAGCCATGGATGTCGCTCATAGTGTACATAGTGTTTTCTCTCAACAGCGTTGTATGGTTATGCTGCCGGGACCGAAGATGAAGTGTGCCACCTAATTGGCCCGACGTCCAAATTGAACGGCAAGATATGGGAGTAGAATAGGGCTGCATGCCGAGGTTGATTTTACGGTATGTTATGCACTCATCTGCTTAGCTAACTCATTTAGAAAGTAATACTGAATCACGGTTCCTTCAATCCCAATGCAGCAGAAATACTATTTAAAACAATGAATGATGAACAATTCAGGTTCTGTTACAAGAATTATCCCATGCGTTGACGTTCATCTGGAAGATTTTGAGATATTCCACTCTATCCCACACTTTTGTGGAAAGCTGATGTCTAATGTGCAATTAGTACAATGTGTGACTGTTACCTGCCGACGTCTGGAATGAACTGTCGGACACTGAAATTGACCTCATAGCTTGAAGTCGATTAATAGCAGGCAACATGTCTAAAATCGAAGGCAAATTCTAGTACCAGTTAGATGGATGAAAAATTTGCTATCCACTATCGCAAAATACATTGTAAAACGAAACGACTGGGCAGGCATCGACGATGACAAAAACAGAAGATCAACGAAAATTAGCAGGAATTAGTGATCTCAGCCAAAATCATATGCAAAGTATTGGCCTCACAAAATTTTGTCAACTGGAAACAGATGCCAACTCATGTCATTGAAAGCTGATACGCAGGGAAACGACGCAGCGTTCACAGAATGCTCGGTTACATGCTCTTGCAGCCCAAGCAAACAATCAGGCCTAGCGTGCTTGGGTTTCGGAAACACTGACCAGCTATCCTGGTACTTCTGAAAGCTGTTGCCAAGGATGGAGATCCACCCGACGCACCATGGCTCCACATTCGCCTCCAAGACACTGTTATAGAGGGAAGCACCGCAATGCGGCATGTAAAACAGTGTGGGAGAGTCTGCTCGCCTTCTGCCCTTATCGTCTTGCACAATCGGGGTGCAACCTAGGTTTGTCAAAAACGCGCACTCCATAGCCGACAGCACCGGGTCATAGGCAAGTATATTGCCAATGCAAGAGAAACGGTCCTTCAAGAGAAGCGCGAGGGACATTTGACAGCGTGACACCTCACTGTCAAGCAAGCTCCCCACGCCGAGAACAACCACCTCAACAAGAGATGATGATTTTGTTGCAGGCGTTACCTCCAACGTAAAAATTTCAATTTCCTTCTGCTCTAAGCTTTCCGTTGTCGACCTCCCTACAAGCCAAATTCAAAAATCCATGAGGTGTCCACAAAAACCCCAAATTTCAATCCCCGGATGTGCAATACAACACAGATCCTGTAGTGCGCAACAAGAAGGGATGGAGGTGAGATAAGAACAAGTACCGTCTGAGAGGTGGGATTCACACGCTTTGTGGCCAGCTCTTCTCCCATTCGCCAGCAACGTTTCGAGAATTTGCAAGCGTTCCATCTGCTCCACTAAGTTTTTGAAAAACGCAGAACTCCGCACTCGTTCCCTGGAACTGGCAAACTTCTCCCGCAGTTTCTGTTCTGCAACAGCTTTCCCGGAGCTTAGGTCTAAGTCCGGCCCGTGCCCGCGGCAACAAGACAGGTGCCCATCGTCTGCGTTTCTGCTCGAGGATCGTTTCGTATGCTGCCGCTTCTTGCGACCTCGAACGACTGTCCACTCATCCTCCACCTCCTTGCTGCCAGTGGTTGAATCACTCATCTCCGTCCAGGGGAAGCGCAATCTTCACCCCAAACAAGTATCGCTACAGTTCGAGACTCGAACGACAACTCCAATCCTTAGGTTGCAGCATGAACAACGGATCTCGAGCTTTGATTCACAAACCCAAGACGAGATCTACACAGCTGGGAACTGTGTGCTGATAGCTACGAAAGTGAATACATCTACCAGAATCACTCACTAAACCCTAAAAACACACTCCAGAATCGACCTATTCACACCAAATGACTCAACGGGACTTCTAGTTGCAACCTTCCTCCTGCCGCAGGGGATTAGGTGCTGAGCTTCACTATTGTATTTAATGGATGATAATTCATGAATGAATTTTGGGCAATTTTAACCATTTTTTTAATGGGTTTTTCCATTCCAATTATCTGCAAAATTTGGAATTTAAGGGCCAGGAGAGCAGAAGCCAAGGAGGCCTTGGCAAGAGAGCCTGGGAGGGTTAAGACAAAGTATTATGGAGAAGTGTTAGGAAGAAGCGCTTAAATACTGAGAAGCGGGGTCAAAATATAAGTATAGTTATATAATTATATAATTAGTATACCATGCATGTCACCGGATATGAACTAGAGACATGTCTACACCTTCCAAAATTATTAGCCAATAAGGACCAGCCTTAGCCTTTCCAATGGATGACTTAAAATTATGGGAATTGTTAAATTGATCAAGGCATTTACTAAATCAATCCACCCATCATCATTGGTTAAGGATCAAACCATTTTTTTCATTAGTTTTTTTATTAATGCGGATCTGGTGGTGGTAAATTTAATAAATACTTGGGTCAATTTAACCATTCCCTAAATTATACTCTCAAATTATTTATATTAATCTAGGTTTTGTTGAGTCCCCTACCTATCTATAGCCATGAATAGCGAGCAAGCTACGGATTAGGAAAAACCCAAAATGGTATTCTAGATGGATAAAATCAATATGTGAAGATGTAGTGAGGTACTCAAAATTGCCTTCCCACTTTTCACATGCCTTTGTTTTCTACCTTTTAATGATATCTTTAATGTGAATTTTTCATTTGTTTAGTCTTAAGTGTTTTGTATTCTTTGAAAAATCCTAACACATCATCCCTAAATCAACAGACTAAATGTGGCATTTAATATTGTGGCTGGTTAAAGGTTTAATCTGATGAGAAAACATAAGTCTAAATGTTTTAAAGTTGTTTGATAAAAGCAAATAATATTGGTTATGATAAAAACCTGACTCCTAAAATAATTAATCACGATTTCTTGTTGCAACATTTATAAAACATACAATAGACTTCGTAAAAGCTTGTATAATGGATCATTTATTTTTTTGTTATTTAAATTAGTGCATCACTTTACATTCAACATATCACGTTGTGTTTTTCTTTGATGCTATAACCTTCTAAATCAATCTTAAGATGTTACAAGAAGTCTTACTATTGTTTTATTTTCAAAGAAAAGTACAAACATTTCTTAAATGTGTAATTTGATTATAAGTTCTTACAGATGTATGAGCAAATTATTTTGTCAAAAACACCAAGTTTATGTTTCTCATTATATTCACTGGTCTTATAAGAAATCAAATACACATCTCATGAAATTTTATCCATTGATTTTAAGACTACAAGTAAAGTTTAGAACAATCTCAAATTGTTTTAACTCGTTGTATTTCTAAGATTTTTTTTTATCAAATAAACTTATATCATCAGTACATTTAAAAAATTAAATCTTTAACACTTCATGGTGATAACTGAAAAATCCATATAAAAATGATCCATTCTCCACTTAACTCATTTCTGTGCATATCATCAAAACTAATTCACACAAGTTCGAGGATTTGAAGGTTTTTGTTCATTTTATCATTAATTTTGCAACAAAAATCTTTGATGGAGTGACAAAGTGAGAGATCACATCTTTTATTTATCTTAATACAAGCTTCTCAATTCCAACTACTAGAAGACTTAAAAAGTTGCAGCTACTCAGCGTCTCCTTCATAATTAAACGGTCACGAGTAAAAGTCTCTCAATGAATCAACGGCCGCGGCGAAGCTGAAGATGTCGCCTACGAAGGGAGGCTGCTAAGCATTTGCTTCGATTTTGGCTCGTCGCAACAATCTTCCACCTCGGGAGTAGCGGAGACGATTGTTTCTGCCGATGCATCGTTGTGGGGGTGGTGGATTTCAGATCTAGGCATCCTTTTTGAATCGTGGTGGAGGTTTGTGTGCGAGGAGCGTCGTCGTTGTTAATATTAAAGTTGTAGAGGCAGAGTTCGTGCTAGGAAGTAGGAGTCCCAGGAAGCAGTGGAGAGTACTGGATCCATGACTTTCGATGCACCTGAGAATCTCCAATGAGCCTGAGGAGTTTCAAATGTGAGGCGCCACTGCGATGTCCTAGTTCCGCGTTGGGTTGTAAGGCAACTTTCTTCATATACTGATTTTCTTTGCTTAGCGTTGAATTTTTCGATTGAAGGGCGTGTCATTTTAAATATTGGTTTCTGCTTCTGTCGAAGTTCAGTTGGGCGCGCGCGTGTGTACCCGAAGTTTCCTTCCATTTGACAGGATTTGGAAGATGGTCAAGTGGAGCTTTGTTGCTTTGTGGATTGCAAAAGCATCAGGGAGTTCTTGAGGTGACCCGAGATCCTTGACATAACTATCTGCTTTCTGATCCAAGTCGACAAGATGGATTTGACCCCCATTCGACACGCAATTGATCAAGTAGTTTTTCTGCGCAATTCCTATTTCCTAAAACTGAGACAAGGTGTGATCGAAAGAGCACTAGAGGAGGCGAATGCAGCTGCAGGATGGCTTGCAATGTTGAATGAGGATGACTTCTCTGAATTTGGCAAAGAATTATTCCAAAACCTTGGACGAAAATTGACTGAAGTTGGTCTAACAAGCCAGGTAATTGTTCTCTTTGACTTTTTGGGAATGGATAGCCAATTGTCTCTCCTCTCTCTGCATTCACATTTGAATGTAGAGATCCCTGACACTTTATAATTCACAGTATGTCGAAGAAATTCATAAGACAAGTCGAAGACGTATCGACATACCCCTGAAGCGATGGAACGAATCACTGAACAATGTCTTCGCACGGGACATTATGAAGGCGTACGTAAATGTTGAATTCGATAGCAACTTGATCAATCAGCTCATATGCGATCATTTCTATCGAGCGGAGGATCTCGGTTTTTGCGATGTCTTCGTGATGGAGGCTCAAATAGAATTGGGTGTTGCTGCAGCGTTGCACGCTCCCGTGTCCGACATGTGGCAGTATTTGAAGCAACTTCGTGAGATGAATGTAGACCCTGCATTGGATTGGTGTGATGCGAATCGACTCAAATTGGATGCCAGGGTACGCTGCAAGGATATCCTTTCTAGTGCTATTATACCCGGATAGGTCTAGCTCAAGTGAAAGGTCTTCATTCTCTTTTCTTTAGGGTTGAGTTGAATAGGTCTTCATTTACTAGTTTCTCGGTGGGTTAACTTCTGTGCTGGAATTTTTCCAGGCATCTTCATTGGAGTTTGAATTGCGTGAACTAAAGTTTCATCATCTTCATAAGACCAAAGGGCTTAACGTGGCTGTTGAATATGGGAAATCCTTCGTTTCTTCTTATATTGCCGAGCACGATTATGTGAAATCCAAATTTCCTAATTATGGCAATCAGCACATACAGAGGACTAACGTAAATAGAATGATGGCTAGTCTCCTCTGGAATAAACGAGGTGGAAATTCTCCTTACAAAACCTATTTCGATATGCACCAGCAGCTACAATCTACCTGCGAAAAATTCAAGAGGGAGTACCTTTTAAATCATCGATTTCAAAGTGCTTTACACGCCGTTGTTTCAGCTGGCTCCATGGCACTTCTCGTTCTGCTGGGCATATCCTCCAAGGTACAGGTTAGGCCATTGCTGTGTTTATGTTGTCATGTCCTTTTTCAAATTTTCATCATCTTCTTGGATGCAGAAGTAGTACATGTAACCTCAATCTTGCTTGTTTTGTTTTTGTATTGTCCAAGTCTTGATGTGACCTTGAGTAATATTGGTTGCCTGTGTGGGATCTGATGCTTAAATTTTCTGAGCTGGTTCAGGAGTGGGAGCTAGATGATGCATACAACTTTCACTCCATATATGTCTGCTGTGTGCATTTAGATCAAAGTACTGTAGAGAGTCCTCCAGTACTGCAGCAATCATGCGGCCATACTATGTGCCTAGATTGTTTTCAAAGGATGCCTAAGAATTCGCTTTATGTTCCAAGAGTGAATACAGAGTTAGGAGTTAACATCCGGATCACATTGTGTACATTAATTTGTCCATTCTGTCGAAGCTTGACAGGAGTGGTAGAATGCAAGAAAATCTATATGTGATGCTGAAATGATGGACAGTATTGTGATGAGCTGCTGCAATGCATTGGAATTCAGTTTAGAAGGTTGGTTGTAGGAATCAGAGAGCCGATCTTAATTCGAAGTTTTCTTGTGGGTAGGTTCTCTCAATTATTCATGAAGTTTACATGAGGCACATACCTCATTCATTAGTAAGCTTAAGCATGCTATTCAAAAGTGATGTACAGAGGCAATTGCTGCAGACAATTACTTCAATCAATTGCTTCAGAATGTAGTTATCTCATTTTTACTCTGCCAGATTTATCATAAAGTTGTAATCTATAGATTTAAAGTCAATGTTTACACTCAAGAATGCTCTTCACATACTCCTAATATTTCTGAGTCTAATTGTTGTTTGATGTGCCTGTCTGATGACATGATGGAAGACCTGTTTGACAGGCTCATGAAGTATTTGTAGCCATGAGATAAAGAACCAAAAACATCTTGGTTGTAGTTTCTGGAACAGTGATGTAATTCCACTGTATTCAATCCATGGCAGACGTGTCACTCATGTGAGATGTTTCACATTTGGATCTCTCATATTACAGGGGGAGACAAAGGGTAATTAAAGAGCTTCTTACATCTAGTTAGTATCAGAAGTAAATCCAATAATGGCTTTTCAAGATCCACTCCTGTGGAAAGATTCATCACTGCAGATTTTTGAAGTTGCAGAACCTTCAAACATTTTGGATTTTGTGTTACTGAAGGTGGAAGCTGGCAGGAAGGAACCCAAATTTCTCCACACCCTCCCTAATCATGTTTACAATGGTTAATTATAAAGATTTTACCTGATTTTTAATAAGTTTAGGTTGAGGAATTTTGGCTCATGTCTCAACTTCTGCACATTTTCGAGCAATTGTTAACATCTGAGCTACCAAGTCCCGAGTTATGAAAAATATCTCAGCTTAAATTAGCTTAATGTGGTGAAGGTGAAAAATCCATGGTAATGAAAACCATATCTGAACACATGGAAAACCAACTCGCGGCAATACAGCTGCTAACTTGCGGTGCTGCAGTATGTAGTGCGTTCATTAAGAACAAGAAGGTGGTTGTAGCAGGCGGATTAATTAGTTCTCTGTACATCAGATTGTCAGTTCAAGACACACGTCATCACTGCTGGCTCATGTGAGCTGATCACTTAATAACCTGTGTTTGCCTGGCAGACTACCGTATGGGCCGAACTTATGCAATGGACCTAACATTGTCCACAAAAGAAGATTTAAAAGCTTAAAAAACCCCAGTAACGCTATTGAGCGAGTCTTCTCTACCACAATTTGCAGCCTCCTGCCAGGTACTTTATCAGGAGATCGTTCAATTTCTGCCGGGATATGTAAGTTGATACAGATGAAAAATGTGCTCAAAGAGGAACGGAACTCATCGCTGTAGAGGTCTGCAGCCATTCTGTAGGTATCTTCGTGTAGTAAAACATCACCCACCAAGTTAAGAAAAAGGGAACCGAAAGGAGGAAATGAAAGTAAAGAAAATTAACTTCATGTAGTATGGAAAAATGAATGATATAAAATGGTAAACGCCAACTGGCACACTAAAAGTTCACTTACTGATCCTGCCAGGTTTGATTTTTGTTTCTTGGGAATGGGTGCTGTAGTGACTTGTATCTCAACGAAGACGTTGCATGACAACCTCCAAAAAATACAGGATTAATGACTTAGATTTCCCAAGGCAATTTAAACATTACTGAATTGAGCTCAAATTGTTCTGAGCCGTGCCGAGTCAGCAATTCTTCCGCACCAACTATTTCCTTGCGCGATTTTATTATGTGCCAAGTAGGATTTAGGGGTGGCCACCCGGAGTCGGATAATCTGTTCAACTGCTACATCGGCAACTAACAACCATAAACAACTCCTTCTAGTTCCTTAGTAAAGAGCCACCTCAGAATGTCCACATTCCTACGGAAATGCACTTGACACTACTTTAACGTGAGCGAATTTTCAAAATATGGCCGCACCAGCGTAATTGAAGACCCGGGACTTGATGGAATCGTGTCGTGGATCAGTGGGGGTGGGGGGGGGGGCTGAAGTGCAGGACTGTGATCAAGCCCATTGACTGTTCTGGTTTCGCTCTGCGGCTCCTCATCATGACCTCATTAACTGCTGCGCTTCCCCACACCTGGACCCTCAGTTCCCCAGCCCATCGCCGCGGCCCACTTCTCCCACTCTCTCAGCTATATGTACCACCTCCTAAGCTCCCGATTTTACGATCAGAGCAAGTGTCCAGCTTCATCGAAGTGTGTTTGCCCTTCCGTCGTTTCCTCATTACGCCATGGCGAAGACGAGCAGGTCGCAAGCTATGTCGACGCAGCTGATTCTCGTCGCAGCTCTTCTAAGCTGCTGCGCTTGTATCGTCAACACGGAGGCGAGGGTGCTTCTCACGTCTTCAGGCCTGGGAAGCTTGATCCCGAGTTTGACTCTCTGCCCTCCTCCTCCCTCCACTGATCCACCGGCTACTCCCTACACTCCATCGTATTCTCCCCCAGTTGCTTCCGATCCTTCCCCTGTGACTCCCACTCCAGTCTACAGTTCTCCTCCTTACTCTCCTGGTACTCCCTCCGGTGGGTCTCCTGTGACCCCTTCTCCATCCTACTCTAGTCCTCCATACAGCCCGACTCCTTCCAGTTCATCTCCTACGACTCCCTCATCTCCTACTTATTCCAGTCCTCCATATAGCCCAGCTCCTTCTAGTCCATCTCCTACTGCTCCTTCAGGTCCTTCTCCGTCATCTCCTACATATTCTAGCCCTCCTTACAGCCCAACTCCTTCTGGTTCTTCTCCGTCATCTCCTACCTATTCCAGCCCTCCTTACAGTCCAACTCCCTCCAGCTCATCTCCTACAACTCCCTCGTCTCCATCTTACTCGAGTCCCCCATACAGCCCAACTCCTTCCGACCCATCTCCTTCTACTCCATCGTCTCCTACTTACTCCAGTCCCCCATACAGTCCGACCCCATCTGGTCCGTCTCCTCCTACCCCGTCGTCGCCTACTTACTCTAGCCCCCCTTACAGCCCTACCCCGTCTGGTTCATCTCCTACCACTCCATCATCTCCTTCTTACTCTAGCCCCCCATATAGCCCAACTCCCTCTGGGGGCTCTCCCTCTGGAGGTTCTCCCTCTGGAAGCCCACCTGCAGGCGGCTACTGAGGTCCGTGATTGTGAGTAGATGCCAATGTCGTAAGAGGTACGAGCCAATTTCGCAACCTGAACTGATGCATGATTTTTATTGAATTGAGATTCGATTGATTGAGCAAGGAATTGTCCTTTTTTCTTGATCGTTTAACCATCTCTGATGGTCTTCTTGACTCATGTAACAGGTTATCAACTGTGCGCCTTTTTCAAGAGGATTCATAATAGCTGAGTTGGTATGAGGCACTGGCATTCGTCCCTTGGAGATGTTTTTTTCATATTAAATGGTGCGGGGAGCTGGCGACCTTTGCCATGAAGGTGCTGCGAGCATGGAGATAAATTATTCCGGATTTGTTTGTTCTTGCCAGGGTGTTACGTGCAGTGGCAGTGTGTGTAAGGGTTTTGACCCAGGCAGTGAGGAATAAGGTGGACGTCTTGAGGGAAGTGGATAGGCTTGTTGACCCCGTAATTTTCTCACAGTTCCTGTGGTGCCGGGGTTGATAGACTGCAGTGTAGTGCAGCGTTGGTTTCCTCCTGCCTTCTCTCCAATTACGGAGGCGTGTAACCTCATGATATTTCGCAATTTATAATGAAGCTGCAACATATGATTCATTGTACCTCTCTGTCTATGTCACTGCTTTCACTGGCCTTTATTAAAATGTATCAAGTCTACATTTAAAAGTTTCTCTGGTAGTCAGCTCCGCGAGCCGAAAGTCTACTTACTGTATCTTGAACGGAGTTAATGATCATTGTGCGAGTATCCGTACTCAATAGATGTTTTATCAAAACCCTTAACTACAGCGTACGCTGCACTGACTGCAAAATTGAATCCGTAGCCGAGCACAAATCCCTCTGTAGCCCGGTGAAAACCCAACTCAATTTATAGTTGCTCTAAATCGACGCGCGGCAAGCACCATTTCGCAATTGCGCCGACCACTCCCTACACACATTCGCACCGTATACACGCTGTTGAACTTTCGTCGGCTCGAACCACAGCGTTTACACTCCCGTTGCAACTGGTCCAAAATACTCCTGCACTTAGTCACTGAGCAGAGAGCACCTCGACTGGTGGAGTGGCAAGAGCACAGAACCTATGTGGTAGATAAGCGTTGCTTGTAATGGTCGGCGCAGCATGCAGTGAGCAGACTTCATAATTCATCACGTAATAATTGGGCCGACAGACGATGCTTTGACTTGGTGGGGGTGCGAGCATCGGGCGCGGCGCATGGTGATCAAGAAGTACGCTGCGTGGTGCGGAGCTACAGTCCATGCAATGCAGGGGGTGGTGCAACAACGCTGTGACGGTGCCTTGCGGCGCTTGTGGGTAGTGGTGACTTTGCGGAGCTTGCATACCAATGCTTTCATCTTTACTGTTATTTTTTACTTTTTTTTTCGATTGAGTATTATCGGAGTATTGTACGAATACCCATCTAAGTCCGAGGAAACAATAGTACTGCCTGCATCAGACCGGAGAACCTCGGTCTTAGGTCGAGTGGTTATAAGCTACCCTACTTGTTTGCTTCAACTCTGCCGAATGGTTCATATGAGTTTCGCGGCTGCTTTGGCCGGATCCGACTAGGCTTAGATTCTAATTTTGGTTAAATTTTTTATAATATTTTCAATTTTATTCATCGAAATAAGGTTTTATTGTAGCTGTAGATAAATATATTCTCTTTTAAAAAAAATTCCAGACGCAAGACTGTTCGAGCCAGCAGAAAATATCTGGGAAGCAGAGGAAAGAGGGAGGGACAGCCTACCTCGGCACTGCCCAGTTGGATGAGAGAGTGAGTGAGTGAGTGTCCTTTTCTCATTTCTACTTCATTGCCATTTCATTTCCATTCCAGTGCATGAGTACCAGGTCCCAATCCACAAAACCAGGTTTGCTTTGCCTGGCCTGCCTGCTTGCCTGTGGGGGCCGGCGACTTGTAATCTGCGCGTGGCAGCGCCATTATGGTCGTCACCCCCACACTGCGACCCACCATGGACTTAATGACTGGGGACCGTGCATCGCCGTCTACGTTGGCCAAGCTGTGAACATGCATTCTCGTTTCTGAGAATATGGCCTGGCTGGTGCACATCCCCAAAGCTCGCTGTTTCGGTATTATGTTAGTGACTGTTTCCTTCACTCCGAAAGAGAGTCGGATTCATATGCGACAACGCCTTGTGAATGAGTGCACTGCAGAGAGAACTGGGCGGCTGCCTAGACAGTGAAAACGAAGCTCGTGGCAGGTTTTGGTCATGCTTGGATCAACGGTACTAAGCTTTATTATAGCTACATGCGTGCCGAGGTTAGGACGGGCCGGCGTACAAATGATCTTTTCTTGTGCAACTATCGGGTGATTTACCGCACAAGAGGGAGGCCCTGTCTTGGTAGCAATGCAGCAGGCGTAAAGAAGTCCTCGCAGACGGCCCCAAACCTGTAGTGAAATGCTCTCCACGGAGGACCTCTATTTCCTCTCGACAGTGAAACCCCCTAAACCTGTCAGTGTTTGCAGTGCTCCGCTCCAGGTAGCCAGATGCAACGCTGTCACCAACCGAAGGGTTTCAGCAGGCGTCAATCCGGTTCGCTCACCAAGACCACCATAGAGCCTTGCAAGGCGATAGAGCCCGAGGGAGAGGCTACAGGGGAAGCGGAGGAGGCCACGCAGTCTTTCAAGACCTGAATGAATTGGAATCATGACATGACAGTCAAGAATGTGCTTCTCAGCCTGTGGATGGTGGGGTGAGGTGGTGTTGAGAAGCTTCGCTTTGATTAATTTAATCCTAATCAAGGGTGGGTGTACGTGTGTAGGAACTGTTTGATTTGCACAATATACAATTACTAAATGCGCTACGATATTGTATTAGAGCTTGAGTCCTGCTAGGATTCTGAAGTGGGAAAACGGGCAGCTTGAATAGTTCATTTAGATGATGCAACCAAACTAGGGTTCTGAGAGTGTCTACCAATATCAAATACGCTGTCTACCAATATCAAATACAAGAGCTATGCTGTTGTCTTCAATTCTTCAATCAAAACTGGAGTCTCGCAAGTTGCTTTTGTCCATGAGCTGGTCGTGATTACTTCCTGAGATCGGAGAAAGTGAACTCTTTCCAGGATAATGGTGATTTGATTGGTCTTGGTGATTTCTTGGTAGAAATTTCATTTATCATGCTAAACATTTCTATGATAACAGGGACAGAGCTCCAAATTTTACTTTATGAAATGATTGTGATAGAAACACGAAAAATTGACATGAATGACAAGTGGATCTAAACGATGTATGCATTTTGTGAGATACTACTTCTGAGCTCAAATATTAAATAAAATCTTACTTTAGCCTACAAGGAATCCAGCAACAAATGTACGCTACCCCTTCTGAATAGAACGAAGGCACTCTCTCTGGATCTACAAAGAAAGGTGCCATGCACTAAACCAGATCAGCGTCAACAACTTCTCCAACTTCGGCGTGCTTTTACAAGCCAGTCGTGGTGACCAGATTCCACGTCACACATCAAGCGAGTGCGATGCAAAAATTCCTGCAAGCCACCATACCGAAACGTTTTGTTTGAGGCTTACATTCGTATGTGTCAACCTTAGCCATAATGCAAGCGCGAGCAAAACGGCGATCAGTTACACTACATATAACATCCTGAGAATTTCATATCCATGTCACATACGTGCAACACCTCACCCTCTACATGAAGGACCGAGACTCACTTGTTTTCACGCCGTGCACCGCCGAAGCAAGAGCTCAAGGTTGCTAGTATCCATCAGCGGGAGGTGGGCTGCTATACACCGGAGAAGGCTCAGATGGAGTAGTCGGAGTAGTCGGAGTGTAGGTATCATGAGTGGAGGGAGAGGTAGTGTCAGGTGTGGTGGGAGTGTAAGGAACGTCCACTGGGGCAGGAGGAGGCGAGCAGCTAGGCAACAGGCTGCTCAAAGTCTTTTCTGATCCAACAGTTAGCATCGTTCGACCTGCCTCTGAATGTTGAACACACTCCAACAGAGCTGCCAACAGTAGCAACACGACCATAGCTTGAACTGACTTCATCGTGCACGACAGCAGCTACAACTCTAGGTCGTTATAGAGAGACCCGTTTGGATCACAGCGACTGCGGATCTGACTATGCCCAAGCGTAAGAGTGGCGACTGCAGCAGGTATTGATCGGCAGAGTCTTAAACAGTGCAAGATCCAGCTCCATTTTAATGCCTCCTCCAGGATGTTAGCTGGTGTGCACAGCACTGCATTAACTGTCTTTGTGAGGGTGTGGAGGTTGCTCACATGAACCGACTCACCTTGAATCAAGTTCATCAATCAAGACCTGGGATTGTAGTTGAGGAATTTCACATTGCGGAATGTGCTTAGCTGGGGATACCTCGAGTTCAAGCAAATAATCAATCAATAACTCGTAACCACGCACAGGGCCAGTCCTGGTCATTGTGCCAGTTACCCACGTTGTGTATGTTCGATAATAAAGGATGTGTCGGATTGCTCGGAATTAGGAATATTTCTATGCACCTTCTGGGGATTTACACCCCATGGAATGCTCAACGCGTTTGCACTCTCTTTCTCTTGAAGAAGGCACTGCAAAGTCTTCGTTGTCCTCGTCCAACGCAGCAATTGACTGATCAATGTCAGGGGTTGGATGCGAATAATTTTGTGGTTTGATGGATTGATGTGGAGAATCGTGCTCACGTCTCTCATTCTGACACTGCTGAAGTGTTCCAATCTGTCTTAATGCGGGAATTCAGACCTCAAAGTCTTGCGGTTTGCATGATTTCACAACGGCATCATTGAGATGACAAGTCTAGACTAATCTTGTGTGGTTCGCAGTAAGCAGTCGCAATAAATGCAGAATCAAATATTCGGTGACCAAGAACTTGCTGAGAATGCTTCTCTCCTTAAGAAATTTGGATGCTAGTTCCTCATGGCTTCAATTACGAGGTCACTCAGCATACCCTAAGCAAGACTTCTGATGTTGCGTCACAGCCCTAATTTCGCAATGAAGATCGCAACATTCAAAAATCGGCATTTTGGTCAACAAAAGCATTCACAAGTTTCATCGATCTAGCTCCTAATCTTGTAATCGATCTAGCTCCTATTCTTGTATATCCAATTTAGCTCAAATTGATCTTATTGAACAAAATACAACACACTTGCAATTCGTATCTAGTTTAAACAAAACCAGTGGTACTGTTGACTCAAGGTAGGGCTGTATACAATTGATTGCATTCTATTTTTAGTGAGGAAATCGGAAAATATAACACAAAACAGTGAGAGGCTACTTCCTTCTATATATTCAGCCTCTCCTCCTTTTGATATCTTCGGTGCGCCTCCTTCTCCTCTCGACATCTATTGTGTATGCATGAAGACAGGCAATGTGTGTGGGTCATTTGGAAGGAGCTTGATCAAGAATAGAGTGAGTTTCTCTATTTTTGTTTGATTTTTGTTCTTTGTGATTTTGTACTTGAATCTAATTTTGAATGTTTTGCAGTTGTGTGCGCTATTCTTTTACTAACCAATTGCAAGATCTCCTAATAAAATATGCTCAAATAATTGTTATCTTTTTGTTCAAATTTGTGAGTTTGATTCATTTTCACATTTGAGACAAGTATTAGAATTTTAAAAGAAATATTAAGTCTTAGATGGTTTATTGTGGATGCTGAATACAAATTCAGCAATAACAATTGGTTTGTTTGTGATATTTCATGTTTGGATTATCTACATGTCTATTGTTATTGTTCACTGTATACAAGAATTTCAATTTGTAATAAGGATGATTATTGGGCAACAGAGATTATTTGTAAAAGGAGAGATTAAAGTATTAAATATTGTGCTTATTGTAAATATTCTGTTGCAGATTTTGTTCTTTTGACTTTCTTTTTATTTTATTCTGTAAATTGTTTTTGTTAATGTGTGTGTATACTCATGTCACACATCATTCTTGCATTATTCAATTAGGGCATGTTCCGTGAATTGTTTGCTCAGGCCCTCATTCTTACATGATTCATACTTTCTTCGTGATTCCTTTGCCTATTGTTTTTCATTATAAACAAAAGATGCGATTTTGATTTTCAATAGCAAGTTCTCTAATTTCATTTGTAACTGGCTTAAAAAAAAACGAGGTTATCTTAGGGATGCAGCTATTGCACGTGTTTCGTCCATTAGTACAAAGAGCATTGCTCTTGACTCAAAAATTGTTGCTCTTGGCTCACAAAAAATTTGGAAAAAGTCACTTGTGCTTATCTTGTATATCACCAATGATGCACTTTTTCCACAAATATTCTAAATAGTAAGAGAAAAATGAAAAATCTGCTGCTAGTGCTTAAAGTCAATTGTGATGTCTCTTCATACAATTGTGCTCCCAATTAAATTGTCCAAAATTGAAGTCATGGCATAGAACTACAAGTATTGGTGAATTTATGCTTCTTCTTTCTATCCCAACCCATTTTGTACTCCAATCCATTATGTAGCTACTCCGAATTGCTAGTTTCTGTTTATCAGCTCATACAAATTTGTTAAGGTTCATAATATTAAATAACTTTCAAAGGAGCAACTACTGTCACTTCTATATCAAGTTAACACATACCCAGTCCTACAACATATCTAAAATCTTAGTTTCTAGCAACTTTGATGAAGAATTTTCAAATTCATTAATATATTTGCTAGTAGTATGCCCATACTAGCTTTCACCATTTACTTACAAACTCCTTATAAGAAATCATGTCAAATTTCAAGTCGAACTAGATAAAAATATACTTATAATTTATAATTTTGAGCTAACAAGGTAAGTTTATAACCTTATGTTGACTTAGATGTAGATGAAACTCTTATAGCTAAATTAGCCAATTCCACATTGAAGCAACATCATGCAATTAAATGCTCTAGAGTTTCTATTTCAATCAAGCCATTATTGATTGATACATTCATATTAAAAAGATTTGTCTTTTGAAAAATTTGCTAAGAAAAAATTTTACTTTAAAATGACAAGTGCTCTTATTGTAGATATTACTTTTAGTAGTAGTAGTAGTAGTAGTAGTAGTAATGAATTGAAGCAAGCCATAGCTCAAAATATAATTAGCAAGCATCATAAAATATCTATTATCAAATCTAAGCAAAGAAGATATATTGTAAAGTGTTGCAATGACAATTGCAAATAGAGACCTCATATATTACAGTTTCACTCAATATTTTTAAATGAATTTGAGATTAGGACATATGTCTCAATATACACAAACATTGGTGCTAAGCACTTAGACAACCAATATGCAAGGACTAGTTGGGTAGAAAGCAAACTAAAGAACAAATTGAAAGAGATTTCACAATACAAAGTTGTAGATATTTTAAAATATATTTGATATAATAATGGCATTACAATATCATACTTAATGAGATGGTGTACAAAAGAAAAAATAATTTTTGAGCTAATTTGTACTTATCAAGACAACTTAATGACTTAAAAGTGTATTATCATCAAATCAAGACAACAAATCTTGAGAGTTATGTAAAATTAAAAGTTGATGAAGAAAATTACTTTTATCAATTGTTTGTTACTTATAATGTAAGCTTATATGGCTTGTAATATTGTCAATTCATGATTAACATAGACAACACCTATCTAAAATATAAATATTGTAGAGTATTTTTTGTAGCTATAATAATCAATGTAGAGAGGTAACTATTTCCTATTACATTTAGCATTGTGAATGCTAAAAGTAATGACAATTGGTTGTGGTTCTTGCAAAAACTGAAGACAACAATTCTTACATCTAGTCCATTAAACTCCAAACTTTTGAAGTTCACATTTTTGTTTGATCATCAAAAAGGTCTTATTGATGCAATCAACATTCCATTTCCAACATGCAAACACACATTTTGTATGTACCATTTAGTAGACAACTTGTAAAAATAATTCAAGAATACAATGCTTATATAATATCTTTAGGCAATAACATAAGTACCAACTATTTCAGATTTCAACATCAAATTTTTAAAAATCTATACTCTATTTGAAGAAGCTATAGAGTATTTGATGAGCATTGGACTACAATATTAGGCATTGTTACAATTTGACAAAAATCAATTTGGCCACATCACTCTAAATATTGTAAAGTCTTTAAATTTTTGTTAATTCCAATGCTAAAAACAATTCATTGGCAACTCATAGCATGGTACAATGAGTAACATATTATTGCTAACATAATTACTCGACCATTTTCAATTACTGTATAGTAGAAGATTTAATGGTCACTAATATTTGCACGAGGTTACTTCATCATTCTTTCATCTAATACTATCTTCTATTGCATGTCGAGGCAGTCATTTAATATTGTGAATTTGCAAAATTGCACATGCACTTGCAAATGATGGCAGTTATCTAAAATTCCATGTATACATACAATTAACAATGTACTATTTATGCAATAATCTATTGTCAATTACATTGCTTATTTTCATACTGCTCAAGCTCAACAAGCAATTTATGCAATAGCCATCATCCCAATACCATCGATTGAATATTGGAGGGAAGCAAGGAACAATAAAATTGATGTTGCTCTAATTCTACTATCCTTCATACAACATCCACCTATCTATCCAAAAAAGCATCTCATTTGTACTAAGGATATGAAAATAGCTAAAGAGTATTTAGATGTAGTCAACGCAAGAGTATATAGCATAATCACTTAATATGCAAGGATCTAATTTGGTTCCAGTGCTAATATGCTGCTTAATCTGATATTTAATTTCATTCTTAATTGCTATATTTTAAATCAAATTATGAAGACATTGTGAGTTAAATTTAAAAAATATATATATTTTTAATTATCAAATGACTACTGTTAAATTATAAACTTACAACAAAGAACATAAGATTTTTTATTAATTACAATAAAAGTTTGATTGTGTACTGCCATGTTCATTAATTTTTTTTGAGGTATAGCAAGAAAACCTTTACAATGTAATCATTTTACAAGTTGATAATATAATATTTTATTTTATTTTATTTTTACATTAAAATTAAAGCATTAAAATTAAAAAATGTATTTAATTTTAGAAACAATTGGTTATATATTTGTAAAATAATTGTACTCTATATAAGTTTCTTTGCATGTGTATGATTTTATGTTCAATAAAAAATCTTTTTTATTTGTTGTTAAATTATACTTACTAAAGTATTGTACTTCGATATTATTATTCGTAATTATTTTCAATAAGCAGTAATGGTGCTAAATTATTTTCAAAAAAAACCTTGAGAAGTCAGACCACCACAAAATTGCGAGTTACCATAATTTTGTGCAATACTTAAATCTATATTAATGGTCTCAAATAATAATTTTTTTGCTAT